ATTCAGAATTTGGCTTGGTGGGACAGATGTGCCCAGGGAGTCTGCGGGGGCCCTGGCCCAGCTCCAGGGCCAGGTGGCCACGACGCTTCTCGAAGCCTCCGAGCGCGGGGGCAGCGGGCGCAGAAGTTGTTCACCTTCTTCGACAGAATTGTCTTCTTCAAGCCATCGAAACAACGCGACGGCCAGAGGGAAAACACCCGGAGGCTGGCCAGCATCCTCACCCGCCGGATCAGGATGGCGGAGGCATGAGGTTGGGGAGGACTCGCCAGAGAGGCGTTCGCCGCAGTGGGCGGGGCACCGTCGCGAGCGCGACGGCCGCCTGGGCCAATTTCCGCCGCGAAGGCCGTGAAAGAAACCGTTGGGGAGCATTTGATTAGCGAAGCCATGGTTCGCGCCAGCAGCCCGGCCACGCTGGCCACGGGAGCAGGGGTCCAGGCAGAACTTCAACAGTTTTTTCCGCCGCAGGCGCATTGACTGAACAAGGCGCGGCCCCGAACCCTCCAGACCAAGCCGCAGTTGACGACCTGGTTGCCGCAGCGAAGACGAGGTTGGCCAAAAACCCGCGGCGGTCGGGGCCAGGCCCGAATGGCGGCAGATTCGAGCACTGGCGCACTCTCCTCGCTGACAGCGCTGCGCTCGACGCAGTTGCCAAATCACGGTGCATTTTATGCACGGGGGCCTGAGCGCAAAGTTCACCAGGGCCAACCTCGGAACTTGGCTGGTGGCGCTTCGAAAGAAGATTGGCGGAAATTAGCGGCGTATCGTGTGCGGGGGAGCGCTGAGGCGGTTGGCGGCCAAAGCGGCCTGCGAGGTTTACAAGGAGGAGATGAGCTGGGCGCGAAGCGAAGCACAAATTGATTTCTGGCCTCGCCGACACAAATCCTCGAGGTGTTATTCTCGCCATCGGCTGCTCCAACGCGCGCAACAGTCTCCCGCGGGCCTGGATCTTCAATTTCAGGGGCTCCGAACACGAGCGCCCCGTCTCCTTCGCACCGCGCGCTGCCGGCTGGGGGGCGCCACTGCGCACCTCGACTGGGGCGACGCCGGCGACGCGGCGCGGCCGGTTACGGCTACCACAGGCGTGGACCAGGGCTGCACGCTCTCGCCCGCGTCGCTTGCACCCACCAGCTGCGAGCCAACTTGCAGAGCATATGGGTGGAGCAGCTCGACGCGCGGGAGGGAGCATGTGGACGAGCTCCAGAGGCTGCAAGCCACCATGCGCCTCGCCGACGGAGGGTGCGCCATCCCGTCCGCCACCCAGACAACGCCAGCAGCTTGCGCCGCGAGCTGGGCGCTCTGCCTCCACGACATGGTCAAGTGCCTGGATGCGAGCACGCTGAAAAGGGTTCCGGACGCGGCGTCCTCGAACGTTGCAAGCGCTTGCCTAGGCCGAGCAGCCGCTGCAAGCCTTGGGGGCGACAAACGGACAGCTCATCGACGGGGCCCGTAGTCGCCAGGAACCCCGCGCGGTCATGTTGCGTCAACGGAACAACAGGTGCCAGCGTGGGGCGGCCGTGATCCCCTGACTGGGGTCCTTCAGGAGGCAAGGTTGGACGTCCAGACGCACGACCCCAGCATTGACCGACTCAGTTTCGTCGATTCGGGGGTGACTTGCGCACACTCTACTTACGCCCCACGCAGGCACGCCCGAGCGGAACGAGATGGGCTCGCAGCAGCCCAGATGGTCGAGGACAAGCGCGACCGCCACCCCCCCTGGAAGGCCTCGACCTGGTCCCGATGGTCTTCGAGACCAGTGGGCGGCCGTCGCCTCCCACCACCAGCGGCCCCAGCACGACAACCGCCAGCAGCAGTAGCGCCACCCCCAAGCCCGACTCCACATTTCCCAGCGCCGCGATTCCCACCACGGTCACCCGCACGCCCGCCACGATCACCACTTTCGACCCCGCTGGCCCCTGACGCCGACCACCGCAACCACCGCCACTACTAGCGCTTGGCGCCCAGCAACTTGACGACGGCAGCACCGCGACAATCACTGCGACTGCCACAGCGCCAGCGGCCACCGCCACCACTCCGAGCACTACGACGACCACCACCACGCCGCTTTTCCACGGCCACCAGGGCGCCATCCACGACCGCCCCCTGCCCAGCCCCCCCTCTTCCTCTTCCTCTCCTCCCCGTGCCGCCCCTGCCAGGCCGCCCCTGTATGCTTCTCTCCAAACATACTTTAGTTAACTACTTAACTTGCGCTTTTCATGGCTAGGGGCCCAGGACCATAACCCAAACTTTTGGGGCTCCCCCTTGGTGGCGGGGGCGGGGACCCACTCGGGCGCTCCTGCTTTTCCTGCCAGGGAGGGAGCGAGGATGAGGGAATGAGAGGGATTGAGAGACGGAGGGAGCGAGGGAGGGAGGGAAGGAGGGAGGGAGGCTGCGAGGTGGAGACGCCGACGACGCCTCCTCGCATTGTCCGCCCCCCTCCTGGCCGCCGCCCAGCTGCTCGGCGGCGCCTTCACGCAGCGGGTCGTCCCCTCCCTGCACCTCGGTGGCCTTGCCTCCATTCACCCCTCCCCCCTGCATTCTCTTCTCGCCCTGCATCCGCGCCCGTTCTTTCAAGACCCGGGAAGTGCGTTGCGCCAAGCACGACTGCCCGTCTAATTGCAAGATCCCTTGTGACCTCGTTGGGGACTCCAGAGGCCACGATCTGTTCTACTTCGAACGCCGGGGAGAGCCTAAGAGCTTCCTGGTTTGTCTCGGGGGCCCCCAAACGGGGCTGTGACCACACCGTGCGATGAGTCGGTGGGGATTCGGGGTCACCGCACGGTTTTGGGACCCGGGTCGTTCTCCGAGGACGTCTCGGGCGACAGGGGCCTCCAGGGTCTCCAAGCCGTGCGGTGACGGACCGTGCGGTGAGGTCTCTTGGGGTTCCGAGGTCACCGCACGGTTTGTCACCGCCCCGTTTTCGGGATTCCAAAGTGTCATCGGTGCCGCTCATTGGTGGAGAGTGATTCCAGGGGCTTGAGAGTATTTGCAAAACCAGACCCTCTCACAACAGAGCCAAGCTGCAACTGCAGCGAGCTCGTCCTGGTCGGTGCCCTAAGAGTGCCACCGATGTCCAGATAGTTCTTAGTTCGCTGCCGTTCCCGCTTGCCCAGTTGGGAAAAGCTTATAGCGGGCAGGCAAGTGCCAATTGGGGGTAGCTGATCAGGGGTGCATATAACGGCAGCGTGTAATATTCCAGTTGGCGCGACTAGGGCACTGCGCATTACACGCAGGGGCTTCTGCATTATAGGTTGGCCTATTTCGGATCATCCTACTTTGCTAAAGAAATTGCTTAAGCAGCCCAGTAGGGTGCGTGTAACGACCGCGCGCTTTGCGTAGACTGCTCTGGCTGGTGCGGCTGAGTCAAGGCGCATTATACGCATGGGCTTCTCTAGTGTACGCTAGCCTCTTCGATCCTTCTGGCCCAGTTCGTGCGTGAAGAGCACGCCAAGGTCAGGGCTGCTGCGAAGGCTCGATGCCCCCTTCCGTCGCGGTGGGGCAACGCCCGCCGTCGTGGGATGCCACCTAGCCCCACTGCCCCGCAGTCCCCTCCCGCCATCCTGGAGCTTCCTGGGGCCCTCTGGGCCTCGTGAGGCGTGCTCCACTTCGCCACGACTGTTTCTGGGATGCCAGGCGGGCGGCACTTAGGTTTTGCATGCCTGCTGCTACCATGGGAGGCCCCAGAAGCTTCGCACGGCTCCCCCCCACGCTTCGTGGGCTGCTGGGGGTGCACCTGGCCCCGAAGCCCCACGGCCCCTTCCTGCCATTCTGGGGCACTCCTCGGGCAGCGCGTCTCAGAACGCTCTCAGAGCGTTCCGGAGCGCTCTGGAACGGCAGCGCTCCATAATTGCCGCGTCTCGGAGATCCCCGATGTGTCCAGGTCCGCGTGGGTCCCAGGCCTGGCTTCTCGCCGACCGGGGCTTGTGCTGACCCAGGTTCATACGTCCCCTACTGGGGACATCCTGGGCCGGGGGGCACCTTCTCGGCAGCGCCCAGCCCCTGGCCGCTGCTCGCCGGCGGCCGTGGGCGGTTGGAGGTCGCGGCGAGGCGCAGCCAGCAGATTGTGCCGCGGGGAGTGGTCGGGGATGAGAAGCATGTAACCTCCGATGGCAGCACGGTCGAGGATGGTTGAGGATGGCACGCATTGATTACATAATTTCTGTGGTTTGTTCCGTTTTCTCTCTTTCGAGCCTCGGCGCCATTGATGGTGAAGCTCCAGATTGCGCACAGACAGACCCCCCAGGTAGTCTTGGCCGGCCTCAGCAGGGCCCAGTGGTCCCAGCTGGCCTCAACAGGCAACCCGAGTTGGCCAGGGCGGTCTCGGCACCCTGGCGCCGCCTCTATCGGCGCCCATGGAGCGCTCCGCGCTACATAGTTGAGGTGTCGAGACAAGTCCAGACCTTTTCGAGTGCCTGTTCTGGGACTACTTGCGTGGCCTCTTGAGGCCAGCCGGGACTACTTGGGGGGCTGTCTTGTTTATTCGTAGCTCGAGGTTCGAAAGAGAGGTAGCAGCATAAACATGGACGTTCGGAGGTCCGCGCGTATTCGGGGGGCACCGTACCGCGGGGCTCGAGGAGCAAAATTCCATGGACGTGAACTTCTGGAGCTCCGCGGTGATTTCTTGGATCGACGCTGGCCCCCTCTGTTGGCGCTTCTGGAGTAGTAGTAGTAGTAGTAGTAGTAGTAGTAGTAGTAGTATTGTAATGCTGCTCCAAGGCAAACTCGCCCCTCGGGGAAAAAAGTTCCAAGTTCAAAAAAAGTTCCGTTTAAGTTCAAAAAAAGTTCCGTTTAAGTTCAAAAAAAAGTTCCGTTTAAGTTTATTTTTTGATTTATTTCAATGGAATGGTAACGAAATCATATGAATTCATATGAAAAAAGCTATTATAATTGTTTATTTTATTTCATTTTCATTAAAATTTAATATTAAAATTTTAATATTTTAATATTAAATTTAATATTAATTTTTATAAAATAACAGCAAAATCGTATCATTTTAATATTAAAAATTAATATTAAAATGATACGATTTTGCTGTTTTTCCCATACAAACTCTATTGAATGATATTTTATTTTTTGATGGAATGGTAACGAAATCATATGAATTCATATGAAAAAATGATTAAAATTGTCTATTGTATTGCATTTTTCAATCAAAATTGAAATATATGAAAATGCATGCTTTTCAATTTTAATATTAAAATGCAACAATTGTGGTGTTTTTTCGTACAAAATTTATTGTAGTTTATCTGTATTATTAATGTGATGGTAACGATATTATATGAATTCACATGAAAAAAGTATTAGAATACGCTATTTTATTACATTTTTCTTTCGAAATTGAAATATGTTTAATTCATGTTCTTCAATTTTAATATTTAAAAGATATAAGTTTGCTGTTTTTCGTAACAGAATTTATTGAATGTTTTTCTTAATTTAATGGGATGGTATCGAAATTCTATGAATTCATATGAAAAGTTGTTGTTTGAATTATTTGGTTTTTAAATGAAAGTGGTTTATTTTTTACTTTTAATATGTAAATGATATCATCGTGTTGTTTTTATTCGAAACTAATTGGATATTTACAATTCGTTACATTTATTGAAATTACGCTTTTATTCCTCATTGAAATTGTGTGTATTTGAATTTTCAGTGGAAACGAGACCGCACAACATCATATTTTAAATGCACGCCGCATGTTATTATAATTCGTTGATTCGAACATTTGGGAATTTTTTTTCTTTAGTTGCACATTATGTGCTATCATACATCGCACAATTGATGTGTCATTAGTAATCATTAGTACAGCCAAGACAAGCATGAATAACGCCAGACAGCCTTGTATTCCCAATATTTTTTGATGGGTGATATAGAATATCACAAAACCATCAAACAAGAGTATACATGCATTAATTTGTTTGAGCGTCGTACTCATGGGAGTTTGCCACATTGGTATGGAAGCAGCGGAAGTTTCATGTTTGTTTTGAGCATATCATCGCGAATGTCACCACGATGTGCTGCGGAAACACACATATCTACATGAAAGAAAACCCATACCCGCATGCATTCTATTTACCCCTACATACACATTGTGTGCATCCGGAATGTGCATCCGGAATTGTTTTGGAAAACGTTAATTTAAGTTCGCAAATACACATCAATAATTTTCTGGATGCGCAGAATGTCCACGCAACCATGTAGTTCCATTCATGGGATACCATTCACTCACGAGTGACAACTATCCTCAATTATCCTGTCTATTGCAGGAATGTGTGTGTACACAAATATGAGGAACGCAGGGCTCTTGCTAAACATGCATGTATCTATATATATATACATATATATATATATGGGTTGATATGTACATATACGCATAGTTGAGCGGCAGCGTTGCGCTCAAGCACGATATGGCAGCAGAGCCACCTGCATTCATGTGAACATACATCACATGATTGAAAAATTGCAAACGCAACCGCAGGACATCGCAACGAAAGTCCTGCTGGAGCACGTGGCAGGCCCCGAAAAACACGCGGAAAACCTTGGGACAAACGTTTGTTTGGGGTCTTGGCCCCCAGTACCCAGTCAGTCAGGACGGAGAGCCCCACAGGACCTGAGGATATTCCAACTCGTGCCTCGGGGCACGGTGGCGGATACATGGTGGTTTCGAGAGCGCGAGCACGTTCTGCTCTCGAGCGCGTTATGGTTTAGAATGGGGTGTTACGATGTTCTAGCCTTTTTTCTCTCCCGTGCAAGATCTGGCCTCGGCGACGCATTGTTCCCAATTCTCCTGTGTGTGGTGGTCGTTGTTGTGAGTTCGCCGCGCGGTGCCCGCCCTTCTCACCTCCTCCCGCCCCCCCCCATCCTCCTCCTCCCCTCCTCTCCTCGTCCCTTCTAAGCTTGATCCTCCTCGGCCCTCCTCCCATCGCGCCGCTCCTGCTTCTTCTGTCGCGCTCCTTTTGGCACGCCCCTCGCGCGACTCCTGCCTCCTGGCGGAGCTCCACCTATAGCTCCACTGGGCATGCTCGTACGGCGTCCCCGCGCCCACTCCGGCACACCCGCCGCACGCTGCGAGGCCGACGAGGAGAGCTCGACCCATGGCCCATGGCCTCCGAGGGTGTGTTCGCATGGCCTCCCTGCGCCCACTCCGGCGCACCCCTCGCTCGCTTCGTGGCGCGCCGTGAGCTCAGCCTACAGTCGGGGCGCTGCAGAAGGAGCCTTTTTCGCTCGGGAGGAGCTCGGTGTTCCTTGATTGCTTCGGAGTTTGCCTCGGGTTTTCCGGAGGGTCTTTTCATAGGAAGTCGAGGCTGAACTTCTGGGAAATGGGGGCCTCGTTCCTTGCTTGGGGTTCCTCAGGTCGGCGCCCCGACGGTATGGCCCCGGCGTGCGTGCGCGCACGGCGCCCCCGCGCACGCGCCTCGTGGCTCCCAGGGGAGCTCTCCGCCCGGGCTCCCATCACCACCCACCAAACCACCCCAACCCAACCCGAAGGCCCCAATTTATCCTCGA